CTGAAGAAGAAGAACTAATTTTTAGGAGAATCTAACATTATTTAACCAGTTACTTTTTTAACTGAACAATTAACTTCAAGTTCATTAATTTAGTTTAAAAATATACAAAAAATTGATTTTAACTTAACTTCTTCTTAATTAATATTTCCAAAGTTAACATAACTTAAAAATTAAAAAAAGTGTGTTTATTTTTCAAGCATTGAAACTAGAAAAAGAATATAATTATCCAGTCTTTAATTAGTTTTAAAGATTTTATTTGTAAAAATGTATGATACAGTGTTATATAGACTTTTCTTGTAGTGTAATGTATTTATACTGACTTTTACAATAGAAATCAGTGATCTACCCAAAATTATTTCAAGGAATAAGATTAGGTTAAACATAGGAAAACTTTACTATCTTAATATTATCTTAAATGTGGTACTATTTAAGCTGTGGAGTATTTAACCCTCAACCCCTTCAGTCAAATCCTTATTAGAAAATAATACTCGCATATCGATTATTTATCAATAATAAATGACAAGAGTCATTGATGGTAGGCGCAGGGTGAGCAAATGGTCATTGCTACTTTGGTCGTTTAAAATCACTATAAAAAGCCAAATGGTCAGCAATCCTTTTTTATATTTATAAGCAATAAAAAAAACAATTAAAACTGTTGTACCCAGACATTTTTTTTACTTTTAGTTTAAAAAAACTAATGTAATTCATAGTTATAGGTTTGCTTGTTTTGAAACTAATTTAATGATTGGTCTAATAAGAAAAAAAAAAACGTTAAAATTAATAAAATAGTCTTTTAAAAACTATCCCACTCAGTCCTTCGAGATCTTATTCTGCCTTCAACTGATAGAATAAAAAAAAGTTTTACAGTGGATCATAGTTGCTTGAAGTGCTTAAGAATGTATCCACATTTAAAGTTGAGTTCTGATGTTTCAGACTCATTACAGAGTGAGAAACGTCAGAACTCAACTGTCAGACCAACAAGACAATCCATGAAAGCTTTAACATATTCAGGATCATAGTTTTTAATAAATATTAAATAAATCATTGCTTTGACTAAACTACAAGGTGATTGATTAACAATGTCTCTTACTATATCATTAAAAATATAAAACATATGACTATTAGCACTTATACGTACTGCATTTAAGCTATTCCACAAATTACTGCTCTTAAAGTATTATTCTAAATGGTTCAATATATATATATGTTATTTTATATTTTAGTTGTCATATAATAAATTTTGTTTATATTTCAGATTTTAAAGAAGAGATGGTTTGTGTACCTTGTATTTTTGTGCCATTAATTGTATTTTTATGGAGCATGGTTAAACTACTTATAAATTGGTTTTGGAAGAAGCCTGCAAATGAAAATAATACTGAAGAAGATCCCGTTTGCTCTTTATTATCTTCATGTCCCTGTATCAATAAAAACAAATCTGTAAAGGAGGAACTAAAAATAGATGGCAATGATGCAGGCGATAAGGAGGGTATAGCTGATAAAAAGAATGACTAAAATCACATTAATCACTTTTGGAAAAAATTATTCTTAATTTTTTGTAAAATTATCTAAGTATAATTTATAATGTTTGTTTATGAATTTGTATCACAAATTAAAGTAATTTTTTGATCTCACTTACAATATTAACTCACCTGTGTACAACCATGTTATAAACAACTTTCTATTCTAGTTGTATAAATTGTTTTCTTTTTTTTTTGTATTTGTAATAATTTACAAAAAGGTTATCTACTTTAATTAGTGTTATCATTTCATAAAATTATGAAATTTGTAATAAAATGTTTTCATTGATTTCTATGTTAATAATAAATATATTAATGATAAAAAACGTATAACAAAATAAAATTTATTTCAAATACAAGATAAATTCTATAGGCAATTTTTTATCTAAATTATATAAATTATGAAAATCTTATGTATATAAATACATTTTGTTTTTAACTAACAAGTTCATAAATCTTTTTACCCATACCTGTAATAAAAATATTTTGACAACATTTTAAGCTTGTTTTTTGAACAGTTGCATACATTGGAATGCAGATGAGTATTATTTGTTTCATTTTGTATCAATGTTATTGTATAAACTAATAGATCATTTCGATAAAAATTTGTATGCTTGAAATTGTCTAAAGAATATTTGTATCCATAATTATAGTTAATATTGCCTTTTCCACAAAAATGTGATTTTGTTCATAGATAGCGCTGTATATTCTAAATTTAATTTAAAATAAAATATTGTTTATTTTTCCTATCAATCTATCTAAACTGCTGGACTTATTTTAACTTAAACAAATATTTTTTTTTAAACAGGAATAATGAAAATAAACACCTGACATCAATCTTTGGTAATTTAATTATATTATCATTTATACAGTATTTTTCAATCACTTATGTAATGTTTAAAGTCTTGTTAGTTGAAATTTAAAAATCAAGAATCCACTCGGTTTATTCTGCGTTACATCCCGACTGTGCTTTGTTGCAATATTTTCCTACTATAGTTGAGAGTTTTTTTTGTGTCTGTTCGTGAGAGCTGTCAACAGCAATCGAATTCTTTACCCAAGATCCGACAGCAGCTGACGCATTGAATATTTATGCCTGTCTGTTCAAGAAAATCTAAAAGGGTTCGATAAGTTATGCTTAGGTTCAAAATTATGTAAGTAAAAAATGGTTGTAAGAAATTTATCGTAACTGACGAAACAACTGTAGTCTATGCGCACCGGAAGCGTATTTATAGTACATTATTTTGTTCAATCAATTTCATAGTAAAATAAATTCATTTAACTATCTATAGATCATTAATTTTTCAAATTTTTAATGTTATAAACGTGTTTATTATTTAATTTTCTTATTATTAATGTACATGATTTTAAAATAAATTATACATGACTCGTATAAAAAAAAAAAATAACAATTTGTTTTATAGCTGTTAAGACTATAGTCTTTAAGCTGTTTTAATTTTTGTTTTCTTAGAAACCATTAGAAATTAAAAATTTTCGTACGAGAAAATATTATTTTGTTTAATAAAACTATACAATAATATGTAGTTAAATAATTATTGTTAAATTTTATTTAAACTACTATTGTTAATAATAGTTAAATTATTATTTAAATATTAAATAAATAAAAATAATTATACAGAGATATAAACCTAAAATTAACATTTTTTATAGTTTGGTATAATAAAAAAAAAATCCTCAAATAATTTTTTCTATCCGATTTATCTTCTGTTATTACTTGTTTAAGTTTAACGACTTATGTTTTATTGATCATTTACTGTTTAACATACAAAAATATAAAATGATACTTTTGCCTCTATTCGTTTTTGACTGTGGGGGCAACTGTCTACCCTCTATTGGTGTCATTGATCTTATCTTTAATGTTTCATGTCTAACAATTTTTAAACACAAACGGTTTATGAGATAAAAATATTCAACAAAATTGTTAAAAAAGTGTTTACATTGTATTATTAAACTTAAAATAGGGATTCTCATTAAATGTATTAAAGTTCAATTTTTTTTATCCTTAAAGGAATGAAAAAAAAAATTATGTAGAGTTGAGTGTTTTGAATAATACAATATTTTTCTCTATGAAAATTAAAAATGTTCAATAGTTACCAAGAAAATGTGCGTCTTTTCCTTAATGAATCACTCTGTATACTACAAATAATTATAGTGATACTTCTATACAACACTATTTATATTTTGTATGGATATAATCAAAATGCAGTGTAAAGATACGTTCACTATATAAAGTTGGTCAACATACTATTGATGGCAATCTTAAATAAAGCACTAGGGTAAAGCGAAAATACCAACATTTTTTTTTTAATTTTAAATCAACGGGTCTATTTTTTTACCTTTGATATACAAAGTTTCATTATAAAAAAAATATTTATTACTTTAACATTTGATCAGCGATATAGTATTTATTTGATAAATTTATATTAAAAATATAGTAAAATTGTTGTCATGAATGAAATATTAACTATTAATTATAATACAAATATTTTTACTAATATATTTACTTTTAATAAATTGATATAAATCATAGATTGGATTTTCATCAGTAGATGGTTACACAAAAAAGGAAGGCAAGTGTTGAATCCACTTATATCGAAAGAGGTCATTTGATTCTTCTTCTTTTTCTTCTTCCTCGACTTAATCCCAAATACTTGGGGTCAGCCACCCTTATCCTAAACTTCCACTTGACACGATCTCCCACATCCTCTATGCTCACATCAGCTGTCCTCATATCGCATTGAGGCCATTTGATTAATTTTTTTAAATTAATATTACATCATTAGTAATTACCTGAATCTTGATCAAATAATTTTTTAAAGAATTGAAAAATATCGACTAATTTGAAAGACTTTTCTCATAAAATCTTTGTCAATTATAAAAAATACTTCAAAAATTATTTTCAGTATTAGTTATTGTACTACAATGTCAATTTTGAGTTATATAGGTCGATAGTCTAAACAAATGCATTTTCTTTAGGATTCAACATAACAAGGTTACACTGTACACATAAAATATTGCAAATGGATATCTCATTTTATTTATCTCATGTAAGTTTCATTGATTTAAATTTTGTAATTTTGTCTTCTAAAATATTGTGATTGTAATGGTAACAATTAATTCATTAATTATTATAATTAATGAATCCACAAAAAGGAAAACGATTTTTAGAATATTAATGTTATAGATATATATTTTTTTAATTTTAGAAAATGCAATTATTGTATTGAAAAATAAAGAGAACGAAAAATTTACCAGTGAATATAGTTGGTATTTATAAGGTAATTTTTTGAAATGATAAAATGTTTAAAAATTTCTTTTTGATCATCATTTTAATAAAATATTTCTGTTTAAATAATGAAGTAATATAAAAAAAGAATACCTTTAATTTATGTATAATATAATATGTACGTTGAATTTAATAAAACTAGGATAAAAATATAAGAACTAGGGAATATTTATTTTCAGCAATTATATTTATTTTTTAACATGACATTTACATTACCCTAATTAATATGAGTAACTGACACACAATTTTCTACATTCTTTGCTTAATACTAACAATTTTTTTTATATTTATTATATAATTAATAAATTATACAATCACGTTTTATTTTTATACTTAAATTTCTTTTTAGTAAAGAATTAAAAATAATCCTAAATTAAATTTACACTGTGTCTATTTCCGCTTTAAATATATCCCTCCAGTAGTTTTGAGCTGCTTGGGGCATAAGCCTACAACAAAATTAATTTTTTTATAAAAATTTCCTTAAAATATACTAGTCTAGATTATTTTGAGACCTGGTGTCCAATATATAAATAAGATCATTAAATAATATACATTATTTAAACTATATATTAAGTGACATAGGTAAGGAATGAGTTCAACATTTTTTTTAACGCATGTTTTTATAAATTAATATAACTCACCATAAAAAACTCATACTAAATTTTAAAACTTCAGGTATTGAAACAACTACATGATTTTTTTTTATTCCGCGAATTGCAGCCGTAGCAACTTCAGGTATAGATAAACTTGGTAGTACAGACCTTGAATTGTAAAAAATAAAGTTAAAATTAATGATGCTTTTACATATGAATATTTTTTGTATATAATAGCTAAACCAAGTTTAATTATAAACTAAAAGATGTAGGAATCGTTATAAAAACGTTAAAATAACATTTTTTTCAGATTAATTAAATATAATTATTTAATTACATTTGTTATTGTCAAGCTTCGACAATTTTTCAAATTAGTACCAATGAATCCATGAGTATTACATTTTTTTTAAAGCCGTGAGTTTGGACTTTCAATGGAAACAAATCTTATTTAAAAGTTTTAAAAGAGACGTGATAATTTTATTATGCCAAAATGGGATGAATCGACTTAAATTGACTTTAAAAGACAAAACCGTCTAAGTATGTCCTTGATGAATTTTGTTACTAAAAAAGGTTTTCTTTTCCATAAAATATATATGCATAAATGATTATTATAAATCCAAGATATTATATAGCCTAAAAATGTTACATAAGAAATAAAATAGAATTGACAGCTCTATATAATTTTATTGAAAATTCATCTTTCTCAAAACATTTTAGTAGGAACTAATATATTTAAGTCATTGAAACTTTTTAGTCAAAAATCTATGTTTATTCATATTAGTCACTAACACTAATAAACACTAAATGTGATTAAACTTGAAAATTTTTGGGTGATATAAAATTATTTGTATATTACTTTAATAATAATCATACTTTATATTTAAATATCGATTTTAAATAAACTTACTTAACATCCCAATGTTTTACTTTAATTGGTTCTGAGTCTAAGAAAAATGGATGGATAGTGGTAGTTAAGATTTTATTATTTGGATTTGCTCTTAGTTCTTCCCCCAAACAACTCATAAATCCTGTAAAAATAATAATTTATCTACTAGTTGAACGATTACTTGTGTCTATTTTATGTCATAATAGCTTAAAATCCAACATCTTTAATGGGTTAAAGTTTCATGGATTGTTGTATTCTTTAGAATATTTATAGACACATCCATGTCTTTAGGTTAGGTTTTTACTGAAGACATGATCATTTATATATATATTCTAAGTAATCCGACAGTAGTTAAAATACTATTTTTAAACGTTTTAATGTATATGTGCATGAAAATTATTCAGTTATTATTATTTTTTATGTCAATAATACAAAATTGTTTGGGAGGAATTAGTTCCATGTATACATTTATAAAAAAGAACGTTACCCTGAATGAATTAAATATTTGAAGGAAAAAGAGCTTTTTTTTCATTTTCATAGGCGTGCGCAGACTTTTGAGTGTAAGATATCAAAGACCTATACAGGTCTTTACAAAAAATGTAATTTAAGATTCTTAGTGTCCCAATTAATTGTCCATAAATATTTTAGGAGTAAACAATTACCCCCTTTATACCCATCTTCTCCTTATAAGTAGAGTCATTGCTAAAACATTAGTTACCATTTATAATTAATTCTGTTATTGCCAAAAGGTTTCTAAATTTATAGAATGATATATTCAGACCAGTCGAAATAAATTAAAATAAATTTCATTAGTTCTAAAAGCTTAAATCCTTATCGGTATCATTCCTTCAATTATATCATTTATTTAATTCTGTGAATCAATGAACACATCACTATTGTATTGACATAATAATATCAAGTGATACAATAAAAAAACTATACTAACAACTCCAGGAGGGTTAGTTATGTATATATTAGCGAAATAATAAATTCTTACAATACATCAAATATAAAATGTTAAAGGTTAAACTAATAAGTAATACTTATTTAAATTTAGAATGTTAAAACATGTTTAGAATGATCAAAATGTAAGTTAAAAAAACAATTACCAAAAGGTAGATCTTGCATTAACTAATAAAAATGCAATTTATTTTATGAACATCAAAGAAAATTCTAGAATAAGTCTGTATATTATTTTAAATAATATAAAAAAACTACTTAACCCTTTCTAGTCAAAAGATTAACTCATTGATAAATTGTGCGTATCGCAATAATTGCAATGCGCACACACAAAAACTACGTGTGTTCTTATAGAAAAAAGCTATTAACTCAGTTAAAATAACGGATTTCAGTGAAATTTTTGATTTAAAATGGATAAGGTTGGTAAAAATTTCATATTTTATCAAAATCATTGCCACAATAAGTGTTTTTGCCAAAGTTTTTAATCGTTTACGGCAAACTTCGCGAATAATTTTCCCAGAATAATAACGCCAGGTTATTTCACAAAAAAAAGAAAAATTGAAAATTGAACATTTTCAAGTATCGTTTTGGCAAATTTTTAATGTTTTATGATATAATAAGATCATAATATTAACAATTTTCATTTTTGAGATATTTTACTACAAAAAATTGAGTATAATTTTTAAATTATAATGAACGTGTAATTTTAATGCATTGATTGGGACAATATTAACATTTTGTAAGCTGAAAATTTTAATGATATACACGAAATTAAAAATCACATAATGATTTTGTCTCTCAGCTCCGTATCAAAGCGTAATTACTAATATAATTAATACTAACCAGTTACTCCATATTTCGTAGCAGTGTAGGGCGCAATATTAGCTGCGCAACTGAAAGCTGCAATGGAAGAAGTTGCAACAATATGACCTGAATTTATTCTAAGCATATTTGGTAAAAACGCGCGAACCATCTAAAAATATATTTAAAAAATATGTCATAATTTTAATTATGAAAAAAAAAACACATCATAGTAAAATTAACAACTTCTCAGCTTGGCATCGAAGCTAAAATAGTAAAAACATTTTAAACAGTTAATGCATCACACACTAAAAAATATTAACGAATGATTCAACAAATACCAAAGAAGTTTTCTTTTTTTATCTGACAAACAATCTATACAATTATTTGTATGATAAGCTTATAAGATTAAGATAAATATATAACATGTAAACTAAATAGGACATTTAAATATTAGTTATTTATTTCTTATATTTTTAATTTTTTTTTGAAATAACCGTACCAAGGAAGTGAAAAGTGAAAACTTAATGTGTACATTGAATCTCAATTATAAATAATTACGATATCGTGGACTTAGAAATACATGATTCATAAATTATTGTCTTTGATTTGCATCTTGATAGACGCACGTCTACGATAACTTTTATAGAAAATGGACCAAAGGAGACAGGGTTTTTGTTGGTGCAAAGTATACAAATGAATTTAATTTACTATAGTATCTTTATTTTTCAAGTCAATTCAAAGTTGATCACTGTAGAATGAATATTTTTACTTACAACATGTAATGTCAAGACCTATTTTTAAAAAAGCTTACATTGTAGCCATTTGGATTTATTACGCGTGCGACGTTAAGGCTTAAAGTAGTTTTGTGTTTACATGTACACGAGACGCTTTCATAAATGTTATTATATTTCTTTTTCCCATGCACTATTCCTCTGGGTGCATTTTCCAACAGACTTTAACGTTTCTCTTTATCTTTTTTGACATAACGTACAAAATATTGCTTTAATTTTCTATCCTACATTAAATTTGACATTTTTTTTTAAATAACTACAAATTTTAGTAATTTTTCTTATTCAAATGCTAAATCAAAAATGTTTTTTTAGAGTCTTGCAAAATTGAAATTATTCCCAGCGGAATTTAAAATAATATTAATTTATATTTTTTAATTGCAGTAATTTGAATTTTAAGTTTATTATTAGGTGATACTACTCTTAGAAAAAATCGTGTGATGTTTACCCAAAATTGAGATACGAGGTTGACGTCGACCATTCGTCGTAAACTGTCATCTGTCACTTCCAACAACGGTGTACTGGCCACTATACCAGCGTTATTTATCAAGATATCAACTCGACCCCATTTATTTTCCACTGTCTTAGCTAACTCTTTAACCTGAACTGGATCTGCTACGTTTGTTGTGTAATATTCTGTATGCAAATCATCAATATTTTGCTCATTTTTAATCATCTCGCATGTTTCCTTTACTCCTTCCGTGTTTATGTCTACGCATATTACTCGAGCACCTTCTCTGGATAATTGCAAGCTAATTTCCCTACCAAGACCTCTACCTGCTCCAGTCACCTATAAAATCAAATTTTATTATTTTTTCATATAAATATTAATGTTCATAGAGTAAGTAGAATCTGTGGAATCTAGTAAAGTAGACGTGGTATTTTTTATTTTAACTAATAGTGTTTAAGTTCATCATCGTAAAACTTTTTGATGCGTATTTGTAAAAAACATAACAAACATTCTAATGATTTGATGAAAAAATAAAATAATTTAAGAATACAATAAAAATTATGTTGCATGCATAAAGACACGTGTCATAAGTTCACGTGGTTTAGATATACTGTTTTTTTTCCTGTAAAATATAGTTATAAATTTTAATATAATTATTGTGTCAACGACTCAAATATTGGTTAAATTTGAGTTTTTTGTCTATTATAATCGATTCCATTAATTCTATATTATATTATATTTATTTTTAACTTAATTTTTTGAAATTCACTTACTAGAATGATTTTATTTCGTAGCGTCTTTTCAGCACAATAAAATGTCGTTAATAGTAATTGTAAATAAGTGTACACAGTGTAGACTATTCCAAAAACAATTTTTGTACCGAGAATAACGTAATTGAAAATGTTGTTTAATTTATCTGAATCTGTAAAAATGTCACTTATATGGCTTCATTAGTTATATTATTTTATCAAATTAATAAAAATAATAATTGGTAATTCTCGAGAAAAAACAGAGGTTAAGTTTAATAACGAACAAAATTGATTATAATATGTTTTTTATTATAACCTTTATTTTAGGCCAAAGGGAATATGTGTTAAAATATTGAAAAAGAAGAAACAGTAAATTCGTAAAAATTATTTTGGACAAATGGAGGTTTATGTATAATAAATGCAGTGTATAAGAGTGCATACATAAAAAGTCAAGCACGAGTCCAATATTTGTTCAAAAAGGTTATTTTTTTCTACTTGTCCCTTTTTTTCTTCTAAAAATCCAGAAAATATTAACCATTTAATTAAATTGTATATGTATTCCAAAAAATAATGGCTACATTTTTTCAACAATTAAATTATTCTTAATTTCTAAGGGCTCATGAACAGTTTTATGGTAAAATATTAATTACATGATAGTTACGATAGTAACCTAATCGTGTTACTAAGACGTTCCTAATTATTTTTTTTATGTATAATAAAATTATATAAAAATTATTTTTAAACCTCATTTGTTAATATGATTTTTCTTTATAATCCTTTACAATAATTCATTACTAAAACAAAATCTTTAAAGTTCATTTAAATTTTATTATTTAGATATTTTAAGGTAAATAATACATTAATTACATATACTACATGACAATACATTAGAAATGTTTTAAATTATATTGGGTTTAGATATGGTATAAATTTATCAAGCACAAAATATTTTTAATGGTTGAAACAAACTAATTCATTTTTAAAATGATTTCATTAGTACTTGACAAAACAAATTAGTCAGATTTTTTTGTCTTGAAAAAATAATATTAAATTTTTTATTACGATTTTTACCAACTGTCCGAATTACATGTTTATAAAATGAGTACATCTTGGATAATCAATCATTCTACAGTATTTTATATTAAAGTACCACAATGTGATAAAGTACAATACAACGTAGGTACATAATAAAAACGTGATTCTTTAAATATTACACTTTTTATAGTACTTATTTCCAAAATTCATTAGTGAAATCAAAACAAACCTCATGTGTTGAATTTTTTGTTAATTTATAGAGGATATAATTACAGTTGTGTATTTGACATAATGTATCAAATACACAAATCTGAATACGTTAAAATGAATTAAATTTGGTCTCTTTTAGTATTGGAATTGGATTGGTACGTTATGAGTTTTATTTTATATACCGAATCGATCGCCCCGGGGGATAAGTTTTATGCGTTTGAAAATAAGAACTTTTGAATATTTATCATTCAGGGTAACCGGCTAGTGCTTGAAAATTAAAAGACCTTTTTCCTATGGGAATTTGGAACCAAGGTTGCTGTGAATCTAAATACATTTTCTATTTCTTCTTTATGATTCGTTCCGGCAAACTGTAATACTTGATTAAAACACAAGAAAATATTGATAAAAATTATGTAAATTAAAATCAGAAAAATAAATACCAAACTTATTTGCTGTGAAATATATTTTTTACTTTCCTACAAAGTTTGGCGTATGTCTATATGTTTGATAGATAAGAATGTAGTTGACAAAAAATTCACATTAAAACTAGATTAAGTTAAAGAACTAAAAAGACGTTTTTTTTTTAATTTAATGATCGTGTAATATATCATAATGTATTTTCTGATAACATAAATTATGTGTAACTTGTTTCACGGTCATCATGTAAAAACAAGTTTTACATTATACAGAGTATCCTTCCAGTTTATGACATCTATTTAACTTTTGATTTATTGAATATTTTAACGTAAAAAAGTTAAGGTTATTATTTAAATTATGCTAGGCCTTTTTTACCAATGAATTGGAATTAAACGATTGTTGACTTAAGATAAATTGATTGAGAAATCAATGAGTAACGTGTCTGATTTTATACAGTAGAATCTACTTTGATTGAGATAACTAATAACTGTTACTTATCATTTGTATTATTTTAATAAATACAAAATATAAATAATTGTTTGTAACAATTAGTTAAAATGTGACTAAAATAAAAAATAAATAATAATATAAAATAAAAAATGATCGTGCAATGTAGGCTGTTTATTTAGCTTAATCGGTAATACATTGTGTCTCGGTGTGTTAGGTACCTTTTGCTTTAATTCCGTTGCACTGGGTTTCCTGTCTTTTTGGCACAAGCTATAGATTTTAGAGAAAACGTTAAAATTATTTTAAAAATATCTACAGCACTAGTAAAATATTTACAAGTATTTTCGAGAAATAAAAAATATTTATTCATAAAAATTAAGTAAAATCTGTAAAAATTATAAATTGCTCTAAATTTAATCACTACCACAATTTGGCCCATTTAACGGTACATAAAAATATTTATCATAAGCAAAGTTTCTTTTTGAGTAAAATGAATGATAGAAACATGTTATTAACTAATCTTACTTGAGCTGATAGTGGTTGTTGCTTTACCATTTGATTTTATTGATGCCATGATAAAGTAATTTTTTAAAAACTATTTTTTCTTTATGCGTACACGCTTAGTATATAATTAAGAATTAAGAAAAAAAAACGCCTTAAAATGAAGTAATGTTTACACTACGGCGAAAAGTTATGTACTATGGTACTTACGGTTCACCTGATTCCATTTAATTGTAGTTGATAGTGTTTTAAGAATTTTTTTTCCTATAAGAACAGGTGATATAACTTGAGTAATACACGTTATACTCGTCGTGCAACAATTTTCAAGTTGAACAAGGGGCATAACAATCAAGATATCAACTTGACTTCAAACACAGGATATTTTATTGTAACTATATAATTACAATAAAAAATATTATTTTGGATAATATCGTTAAAATGAAAACCATATGCAATGAACAAGAAACGTAACTATTTATGTATTTGGATTATATAATCTTCTTTATCATTTACAAATTTTAACAGTTCAAAATTATTTATAGAGTTTTTTAATAAAAATTGCAATTTAAGTACATTTATCTATGTTTATTGAAATATTCTTATTTTGTTATAAACTGAAAATATTATTTATGTCCATTGGACATTGCCCAATTGTAATTTTACTTTAATTCGCTTAATTGGAGCTCCGCCACAGACCTGTGGCCATATTTGTCTTACGCGGTATAGAATTTTGTTGACTAAAAATCAAAAATTTGAATTGAATTTTGTGTATTTTTAGCATAAATGTTATAATTACGAAACTTGAGATTTTGAAATTTATTTGATAAGTAATAAAATTCACTAAATTTATTAAAATTATTATTTTTGTTATAATAAATGAGTATTTTTTTAAGTATTTGACTTTTTAATGAATCAAATATGATAATTATTTATATATTATCAAAGTTTAGCAATATAATGATCAATAAAACTGCATAGTAAATGTATTTATATAAGTAATAACCAACTTCATATTTTAATTGTTAAAATAGTGCCAATAGTTATCCCTTGCCAATTACTATACATATTACCCTATCGTAAATATTGTTGATATGTTTTACTTTTCATGGGTTATAAAATTTTTTCAAGTCCGCATTTCATAAATGTTATAATTATAAATAATTTACAATTGCATAAAATCTTTTTTCGACCAAAATTTATTACTATAACTCAGTGGTGAATTCCAGGGGCCTATGGATTAAGCCGTCTATTAGCCGTGCCAAACTAATATTTTAAGTAAAAATGACCTAAAAAATTGATTGAAAACTTTTTGATATTAGCTCCATTGAAAAATCCTGGGTACGCCCTTATTCTCATTTATTTTTAGTTGTTATCGTTTGGATTACCAAATATCTTTATATTGATATAATCGTATTATTGAATTGAAATACGCTAAATAATATACTAATAATTATTTATAAAACAACCTTCGAAATTCGACTCAGATAGTGATTTATTATTATTTCTCCTTTTTTCCGATTACTTCATCAATAATTACAACGATAATTTGACTGCTTAAAAATTCAATTAATCCTTTGCCTCTGCTAGAAAACAGCTAGTCCGTGCGTGTAAAATATTCCCCAGTGCATGGCGTGACGAAGGATATGAGCCTGAGTACTTTATACGGAATACGCTTCCACTGGGAACGAGTCTAGGGTCCAGCAAATAAAATTCCACCAGTATTCAATAATATAACAAATGGTTGTAGAGGTGGGGTAAAACTGTCGTCATGGGACTTATGATCAGTAGCATTAATACACAACAACCACACACGGGAAAAAAATGATCGTTCAAAATGTACACCGTATAGATTCAAAATTAATGTTATACTTAACGGTAATAATAATGTGGTTTATTTGTAAAGATAATGCATACGTGTAACATTTATATTAAGTATGAAAAAAAATTATGCGATTTCCGCTAAAGTTTGTATTGTGCAGAAACAAACATTTTTTTAAGTCACTTTAATATAAGTATAAGAAAAAATAAATACCAAATATCAATCTAACAAATATGTAAAATAGCAATACTACTCGTATAACTCGTTTATACTATACTAATTACTATGTCTTGTAAAATAAAGGATAACATGAACATAATAATAAATATCATAAATGTCTACATATCTGAATCTTAAGAAATCTAGTTTTTTTATTTATATTATTTTAGCTTCGATGCGAAGCTGAGAAGGTATTAATTTTACTATGATGTGTTTTTTTTTTGTGTCTGTTACTAATTTTTCTCAGCTTTCACCGAACCGATTACTTTCAACGATACGTCTCGTCTAGTAATCGCATCAAGTCGAAGATGTTATCCTCAAAAATTGAAAAAATTTCTCTCGTTCCCCGTAAATGGGGGAAATCTCCAAAAAAATTACAAATTTAAAACTCGCAAATTTTTGATATTTTTGATATTTTTTTCACTGAAAACTACCATAACTTTTTCAAAAATGACTAAATCAATATAATTTTTTTTTATAAATGCATGATGTCTTTACCTATTATTTGGTATATATTTTTTTTATAAATCTGACCTTTTACTTATCCACAGGGGGAGATTCAAAATGAAAAATTTTTCATAAAAAATTAACTTTTTCGACTTAACTTTTGAAAATGTTCCAAAAACTCTGACACTTATATATATATATATCTTAAATTAATGCTTATATAATATACTTTATTTTTAAAAAAAGAAAATTTCGGACTTTATTTTGTCTTCACAGTGAAAATGGCTACCATATGCTATTTTTGTGTTAAAATTTTCGATTTTAGATTTTAGATTTTTAACTTTAAAATGCTATAACTTTTTGAAAAATGTATGGATCAATACAATATTTTTATGAAAAATAATATTAAAAACATCATTTATTTAACATACTTTTTTTGAAATCGGACCATTTCCCTTAATAAAGGGAGGTTCAATACTTAAAAATACATATAGAAAGTAGAACTTTTTCAACTTAACTTTTGAATGTATTCCGGAAACTCTAACACTTTTATATATATCTTAAATTAAAACTTATGTAATATACTTTATTATTAAAAAAAGAAAATTTCGGACTTTATTTTGTTTTCATGTTGAAAACGGATATCAAAATAACTAAAAAAAGTACGATTTTTTAAAAAAATTCTTTTTTATATTTTTAAATTTATAATGTTACAATATTTGAAAAATATATGGATCAATACAATTTTTTTATGATAAATACTATTTATATATCTCTTTCATTAGACATATTTTTTTTTTTAAATAAAACCATTATCCTTTAAATATTTATATATTATAAATATATTTATATTTATATTACATATAAACACCACATATTACACTTATAAACCATAAAACTTGTAATCAGGATATAAATAAGGAAATAGGAGATTATATAGCTTTTGGAATAATCCATAAATTTTTTAAAATTAAACACTATCTACAGATTTGCATGAAACGTTTTTTTATGATAGTGACTTTAATCACTGTCAGATATCATTATATTTGACTCAGCTGTGCCGCGACCACACTGTGCTGGGTTTTTTTTTTTAATGAATGAAAATCAATAATACTAATTTAAAGTAATCGAAGCATAAAGAGCATAAATATACAATATTTTTTTTTAAATACATGTAATGTTTAATGTAAACTAATTAAGTACCTTAATTTAGGAATGAATAATCTGATCAAGGCCATAGAATAATATGGTTTATAAAAAGGCAGCACATTAAGTTATGTAACATTATTACATTATACTTATTTTGGAAACAATGTTACCATTATCAACGCTAAAACCATACTCGCATACAGTACGTGTTTAGCGTTAATTATTTTTAGTTAAAGAATTGAGAACGACATATTAAACTAATCTCTTCTAACCCGTACTACAAACTATAATATAAATTAATATACTAATAAAATAGCAATGGAAAAGTATTGATTATTTGAATTTCAAGTATAAATAGCCAAAACATGATATAATTTTATGTTCCGGGAAAATTGTTCACTTTTTATCACATTTTTCGTTGAATCACTTCAGCTATCCATAGGATCGTATTTTATACTCTTATTTTTATTATGAGGTCTAATGTTCTTCAAGAAAATTGACTAAAACTTACAATGGACGGCACAGAGATAAAAGCATTACGATTTATCGGGATAATTGGAAATATCAGTTGGATTCACCTTAGTAAGAGGCCCATATGTCTTAAAATGAGTAAAAATAATAAAGACATCAATATGTTTTGAAGTGTATAAGTTATTTCTTGGTACAAAGTAACAATCAAGTATGATCCAATATTGAATACTTAGATTTTGAAAAAACATATTGTGGTATTACTAAATTACAGGTTGCTTAAATGTAACGATTATATAACGAGATATTTAATTTTTATAATATATATTGTAAACAAAATTTTAATTTAAAAACTTTAAAAAGTGACATATTAAATACCTAAACGTTTACAAAATGTTGACAACCATTTCGGTCCCCCTACAAAAGGGAGCTTTATTACCAAACATAATTCTAGTTAGTAGTAGTTAGTCCGACATCGGAGAAAGACTGTAACTATAATTACCGAACTTATTTTTATCAGCTATTAAGTATTATAAAAGTGTAATGATACAAGTACAACTTAAGTATCAAAGAAGCCTAAGTATAAAATGTTGATATCAAGTTACTCCTACCAAGAATTAAAAACGTTATTTTTTTCATTTATTACGTTTTATTTATTGAATACAAAAATATCAATTATAATAAAACAAATTCTGAATATACAAGGGATCAAGGTATTTTGAAGTTTAAAAAGTTAAATATCTTTTATATAATAGATCCTAATACTAAAATATCGTTCCAAAAATCACACTCATTAAATAACTAGTTGAAATTCATGACTTATTTTTAAATGCTTTATAATTATCTAATTAATTACAATATAAACTTTTATTCAATATACATTCATTCAAAATTACAACAAATTAATTAATCGAAACATTAATTAAAACATTTTTGATTTTGTCTTTTGTTATTTGTTTTTTATGTATTTTTTGTTTGTTTTTGTGTCTTTCTCTCAATTTAGTTAAAATTAAATATGTAAACATAGCTTGTAAAAAAAGGGATACATCCCGTAAACTAAATAAATAAATAAATAAATTAATTAATTAATTCATATAAAA